GAGACAGTGAATTCTAGTTCCACTTTAGGCACGAAAGCTGGTTGGGTGCCTTTGAGCCAATTGCTAGGAGATGGTGAATTCTAGTTCTGCTTTAGCCGCAAAAGCTGATTGGGTGTTTTTGGATCAATCCCCGGCGAATTCTAGTTCCACCTTAGCCATGAAAGCCAGCTGGGTGAGTTTGGCCCAGTCACCAGGAGACGGTGAATTCTAGCCCTGCCTTAAGGGCCAGAAGCCAGCTGGATAACTTCGGCCCAGTCACTAGGAGTGGTGAATTCTAGCCCTGCCTTAAGGCCGAGAAGCCAGCTGGATAACTTCGGCCCAATCACTAGGAGATGGTGAATTCTAGCCCTGCCTTAAGGGCCAGAAGCCAGCTGGATAACTTCGGCCCAATCACTAGGAGACGGTGAATTCTAGGCCTGCCTTAAGGCCCAGAAGCCACCTGGATAACTTCAGCCCAATGACTAGGAGACGGTGAATTCTAGTTGCGTTTTAGGCGCGAAAGCTGGTTGGGTGTCAAAAATATGAGGTACAAGGGAAAAAAGAAGAAGGCGTTCACTTCCGACTCCTCGTAGCGCAGCACAAGATAACAACAATACAACTTCCACTTTTTACTTTCACACACTAGTATATAACTAGTCGTTTCCGTGACAACGCATCCATCTAACCGGCAAAACCAAAGTCTAAGTTTGATTTTTTTTTTTTCATCAAGCGCCAAATCCGAAAGGGATATCCGAATGAAAAATTCATAAATCTATTCTCCTCTTTGAATACAACCGTCCATTTAACCGTCATCTTTTTGTCTCTGGTAGGAATGGGTCCCGAAGATACCCTCCCCATCTGGTGGAAGTGGAGGCCATCCAGCATAAAACGACGCAGATTTTCCACAAAGTCTATTTCCCGGATGACACTGATGAGGTAAAGGCAAAAAATTCTCGGCCCGGTCAGTAAGAAAAGTCAATCCCGGGTCACTTGGTGTTGTGGTTAGCCAGCAACAGGTGCAGACAGCTGAGGGGAGCGAGGAGTCAGATGAGGGGCCAGGACCATCAGGGAGTGGACTGCTGCCTTCGGAGATTGTGGGGGCTGGCAGCAGCGATGAGGAGGTTCCCGAGGAGCCTGTGTCAAGTGCGTGTGCGCGCAGGATTGCTTGCAGGAAAGAGCAGCTGCAACAACACGGGCGGCTCGGGAGTAAGGCTGCAAGGGAATGGCCCCTCCTTCAAGAAGGTAAAAGCCAGCTGTGAAACGAATATTCTTTGCAGGAAGCAAAGACGTTTTGAAACTCCAGCCTCGTGGACATTCCAGTATTCTGAGTTTGTATTTGAAGATTCTTATTTTGCAAATTATTTCTTGTCTGTTCTCTTTTGGCAAGTCTCGCACAGTTTGTCAAGGCTTGTGCTGATCACAGCTAATTATTTTGCAGAAGGTTTCTGCAAAAAAACTAATTTTTACAAGGTTTCTGTTCTTTTTGAATTGTGTTTGGTTTGTTGGAAAAGGGCGTGGGTCAGAACACTTCGGTTAAGGAAATACAGGTCGTCCTCACCTTACGACGACAACGGAGCCCAGATTTCCATCCTTAAGTGAAACATGGGTTCAGTGCGTTTTGCCTCATTTTACAACCTCTCTGGCCCCAGTTGCTGAGTGAATCGCTGGAGTTGATAAGTTAGTAAGAAGGCTGTTAAGTGAATCCGGCTTCCCCATGTGACTTTGGTTGTCAGAAAGGGGATTTCCTCCTCAACCATCATAAATATGAGTCAGTTACCAAGCATCTGACTTTTGATCCTGTGACCCTGGGGAGCCTGCACCCAGTCGTAAGTGTGAAAAAGAGTCATAAGTCACATTTTCAGTGCCGTTGTCACTAAAGAAAGTGGTTGTAAGTTGAGGACTACCTATAATGTATAAATGTAGATAATCCTTAGCTTATGGCCTCAATTGGAGTCAGAATTTCTGTTTCTGTCAAGCAAGGCGAATATGAAACGTGCCACACCCAATTTCAGGGCCTTCCTTGCCAAGGTTGCTAAGCAAGTCAGTGCACTCCTTAAGTGACTCATGTGGTCATTAAGCGAATCCAGATTTCCACCCCATTGGCTTTGCTTGTCGGAAGCCAGCTGGGAAGGTGGTGAATGGTGAACACATGACCAGAGGATGTTGCATTGGTCGTAAGTGTGAAGACTGGCCCTCAATAATTTATTTCAGGGCCGTTGTAACTTCAAACGGTGGCTAAACCAATGGTTGTAAGTCAAGGACCACTTTTAAACCCAACAGCCGTAGCAAAATAAAAGAGACAGACTTGCAAAGCTGGTTTGAACCTTTCCTGCTATCAGGGTTAATGCATTGCCTTAGACCTGGGATGGCAAACCTATGGCACGCATGCCACAGGTGGCACACAGAGTCATTAGTGTGGCACGTGAGCCCCAGTCAAACTTACCTGCACTGCACATGGGCCTCCCAGCTGATTTTCGGCCCATTTGATGCTTTTTCACCCTCCCACAGGCTGGAGGGAAGCCTTTGCAGCCTCGGGAGGCCGAAACATGGGCCTTCTGGAAATACCAGAAGTGCCGAAATGGGCCCGTTTTCAGCTTCCTGAGGGGGCAGAGGCTTCCCTCCAGCCTGTGGGAGGGCGAAAAGGCCTCAAATGGGCTGAAAATCCGCTGGGAGGTACGCGTATGCGCAGTGCAGGTAAGGGAGTGGGGCAGGGGTGGGATTCAAATTTTTTAACAACCGGTTCTGTGGAGTGGCTTTGTTGGTGGGCATGGCTTGGTGGTCATGTGACTGGCTGGGTGTGGCCAACTCAACATCACTCACATCGAGGCACGCATCTCCTCGCCTGGCCTCTCGTGACTGTGGGGATGCTGCAACAGTCGTAAGTGTGAAAAAGGGTCATAAGCCACTTTTTTCAGTGCCATTGTAACTTTGAATGGTCCTTCCACACAAGCAAAGTACCAGCAAAGGAGGAAAAAATACTCCAGAGAAGTTCCTGAGACAGGAAGTCTAGTCCTGCCAAGAATGTAATAAGGATTAATGGAGAGGCAGTTTCTGTCAGCAACACCAGAATGTTTCCTTCCTGCCTTCCTTACAGGATTAGTCCTGTAATTTCTTCTAACAACCGGTTCTCCGAACTGCTTAGAATGGTAACAACCGGTTCTAGCGAATAGGTGTGAACTGGTAGAATCCCATCCCTGGTGTGGGGCTGTTGCGTGCGCATGCACAGAAGGGGGTGCAATGCACTATCGCGCATGCACAATTTCAGCACACCACAACAAAAAGATTCGCCATCACTGCCTTAGGCCATCATGGTTTATTTGTTTACTATAACTTCTAACCTCTCTCAGCTGGGCCCATCCAGCCAGCTGACTTGTATTCAATTGAGCAAACCATTTTTAAACCCTAGTTTGGCCCGAGAGGGGAACTCAGCTTGTGTGAAGCCGCGATATTTCTTCTTTTTTTTCTTTTTCTCACCAGGCATTTGAAGTGGAATCAGGCACCAAAGCCAAAGATTTCTGTCAAAGCATTTCCAAACGTCTGCTTTTAAAATCATCGGAAGGATTCAGCCTTTTTATTAAGATTTCGGACAAGGTGAGTTTACAACTCGTAGCTGGCTGGATTTTATTCGGAGTTATATCCTGTATTAACGGAAGCTTCCCCCAGCCAAGTCCGTTCATACTGGAACCCTAAAAACGTACAAGTTGCAGGATTTGGGTCTGTCTAGTTTAATGAAAAGAAGAACCATGGGGGGCATGATAGCAATGTTTTAAGGCCGTGGTTTTCCCAGTTGCAATTTGTAATTAGTTGTAAAATCTAATTAATTGTAAATCTAATCTTACAAAGCTTCTCCCTCTGGAAATATTGGATTGCTAACCAGGGCATACAAAACCTTTGCTAGACCAATATTCGAATACAGCTCATCTGTCTGGAATCCGCACAGTATATCGGACATTCATACATTTGAGCGAGTCCAGAAGTATTTCACGAGAAGAGTATGACAATCAGCTTTCGTTCCCACGGGAAGGAGAACCACCTAACCTAAACAACTCTCACTATCTCCACTCCTCCCACCTTAGGAATGTGGCAAGCCCGAAACCCTTCCACCCAAGGGTGGGATTCTACAGGTTTGCATTTACTCACTAGAACCGGTTGTTAACATTCTAAGCAATTCAGAGAACCGGTTGTTAGAAAAAATTACAGGGCTAATCCTGTAAGGAAGGCAGGAAGGAAACATTCTGGTGTTGCTTACAGAAACTGCCTCTCCGTTAACCCTTATTACATTCTTGGCAGGACTAAATTTCCTGTCTCAGGAACTTCTCTGGAGTTTTTTTTTTTCCTCCTTTGTTGGTACTTTGTTTGTGTGGAGTGACTATTCAAAGTTACAATAGCACTGAAAAAAGTGACTTATGACCCTTTTTCACACTTGCGACTGTTGCAGCATCCCCACAGTCATGAGAGGCCAGGCGAGGAGATGCGTGCCTCGGTGTGAGCGATATTAAGTTGACCACCCCCAGCCAGTCACATCACCCCAACCACGTCCACCAACTCAGCCACGCCCACAGAACCGGTTGTTAAAAAATTTAAATCCCACCCCTGCTTCCACCCCCATAAAGAGAAAGAAAGAAAAGGAATATATAATAAGGCTAAATAAAATGGCTACGCATATGGCAAATGAGAGGGCCGTTTCTGTTGTTTATTTCCTTCCCTTTCTCAATCGTGGCCCCTTTAAGATGGGTGGACTTCAACTCCCAGAATTCCCCAGACAACACGCACATCTTAAAAGGGGCCAAAGTTGAGAAATGCCGCTTGCCTTCTTCCAGGTCATCAGTGTCCCGGAAGGAGATTTCTTCTTTGACTTCGTCAGGCATCTGACCGACTGGATCAAGAAAGCGAGACCAGCAAAAGACGGTAAATCTGTGGGGGGTCACCATCCTTGCTCTTCTTGACATCAGTACATAAATCTTTACTTCATTCTAGTTCCCTCTAGTGGCCACGTTTCAAAATTGCAACTTGTCATGTTTTTTTTTTTTTTAAAGTGAATTCAAAACGAAAGCATTTTCCCATCAGAAGGATTCTTATAATGAATTCCAGAATCTTATCTCAAAACTATCTGAATCCGTTGTTCATTTGTAACCTTCTGAAATCAAAGATTTAATTTATTTAAAACAAAACAAAAAACACCCTCCTGCTTAAGTCCTTAAACTTGTAAAAAATTGAAAAGAAACTCACTGGGTGATTTTCAGAGTTGTTGATCTGAAAGTTTCTAATATAGGTAGTCCTCGACTTACAATAGTTCATTTAGTGACCGTTCGAAGCTACAACGGCACTTAAAAAGTGAGTTTTGAACGTTTTTCACACTTATGACCGTTGCAGCATCCCCGTGGTCACGTGATTTACATTCAGAAGCTTGACAACTGGTTCATAGTTATGACGGCCACAGCATCCCGGGGTCACGTGATCATATTTTGCGACAAGTAAAGTCAATGCAGGAAGCCAGATTCACTTAACAACTGACTCACTAATTTAACAACTGCACTGATTCCCTTAACAAATGTGGCGAGAAAAGTCATAAAATAGAGCAAAACTCACTTAACAAATTTCTCACTTAGCAAACCTAAATTCTGGGCTCAGTTGTTGTCGTACGTTGAGGACTGCCTGTATTTGAAAAGCAGTTAACAGGCAATTTCACAAAAATAAAGGTTAGAAAAGAAAGGACGGATAGTTATCAACTTACAACTGGCTGCTTAGTTCTGACCGAGGCTTCTCAGACCGTAATTACACACACGCTTATTTTAAAAACAAGTCTTGTTTTATTGCAACGCTGGGAATTATTTTCATTCCCAGACAGTAATGAATCTCAAACAGTCCCTCGAGATAAGCACCCACCTTTCTTTCCTGTGAAGTGCTGCCAATAACAGAAGCATCCAATGAACTAGAACAGAAAACCAATCGGAGTACACAGAGCTTCAAGGATTAATCCGAACAGAACAAACAACTTTGCTTCCTGCAAAGGTTTTGTCATTTAGGTCTGACTTATATCCCTTAGGGGAGGGGCAATCACCTCCCAGCCTTACTCTTGTCGTCCCTTTTGTCTCCGCTGCTCTTGTCTTCTAGCCGCTCTGCACATACGCGCACTGGGAACAGGCTCCCGCTGTTCCTCTGCCTTGCTGCTGCCAGACTCCTGGACTGATCCCCGTTCTTCCCCACTGTCCGATTCGGGTGCCATCTGCACAGGCTGCCAGCAAATCACAACAGTGGCCATTGGCCAATTTGCTGGCTTAACCACCGCAGCATTCGCTTAGCAACCACGTAGGTTGCTTCGTGCGTGAAGCCGTTGTTGAATGACCACCACAAAAAAGAAGTTCGTAAAAATCAGATCATGGGTGACTCAATTTACAAACCTCATCATTTATGACCCTGATGGCCAGCAGGCTCCCTTACGGTCATAACTCTAGGACTCCTCTTTTAAACTCGTTTAAAATGTGTGGATTTCAACTCCCAGAATTCCCCAGCCAGCTCACGCACATCAGCAAGATGGCCTTCTGCAGCAGCCCCTGGAGTCTGAATTGCACCCACGACCTCTAACGTTACTGTAGATCCGTGTTTCTCAATGTGGGCGTGTTTAAGATGAGTGGACCTATGCTGGCTAGGGAATTCTGGGAGTTGAAGTCCATGCATCTTAAAACATGCCAAGATCGATAAACGCTGCCGTAAATTAACCATGGGTCGTCACACCACGCGCAACCAAGTTTGGACGTTGTTTCCCGATCTTGCTTCGCAGGGCTTGTACCTTCTCTCACCTATCAAGTCTTTTTCATGAAGAAGCTGTGGACGAACACCATGCCGGGGAAGGATTCCATGGCGGACTCCATTTTCCATTATTATCAGGTACGTCCCAAATCTGCAAGGGTTCATCAGCGGAAGAACGTAAGCCAGATTTGGGTTGGGCGATCCTTTTTCTATCTTCGCACGGTTCCTCATCCCGAAGCAACCTGGAGAACGGTGGAGAAGGAGGGTTCACAACTGGAGGCCACCCCTGAGTTGTCCTCTTTGAGTATCTTGGATGATAGCAATAGGAACAGCACTTAGGCGCCACGTTATAGGGCTTTCCAGCCCTCTCTAAGCCGTTTACAGTGCTTTCGGCCTCTTGCCCTCCAACCATCTGGGTCCTCATTTTACCCACCTCGGAAGGACGGAAGGCTGAGTCAAAACTTGAGCCTGGTGAGATTCGAACGGCTGAATTGCAGGCGGCCGGCAGTCAGCAGAAGTAACCTTGCAGTACCTCACTCTAAACCCTGCGCCACCGAGGCTCTTGGATAGGAGCGAAGGATGGCGAGAACGTGGTCTTCTCAAATATTAGGAAAAATATTATTTTGCATGCAGGCCTTGAAGGTTCAAAGAAACATGGTTTATGAGCTTCGTTGGTTTCGTTACCCAACTGGTTAAGGAGGAAGAGGAGGAAGAAGGGGGAAGGAGAAGGGGGTGAAGAGGAGGGGGAGGAAGAGGAAGGGAGGAGGAGGAGGAGGAGGAGGAGGAGGAGAGGATTGTGGGGTCCTTGGTGCTCTCTGAGCTTGGTTGTTTTTTGCGGAAGTTTCATTACCCAACTAGGTTAACATCATCAGTGCTAGAAGGGAGGGGGGGGTTGCAGAGAGGAGGAGGAGGAGGAGGCAGAAGGGAGGAAGAAGAGGAGGAAGGGAGGAGGACTGTGGTGTACTTGGTGCTCTCTGGGCTTGATGGTTTTCTTGCAGACATTTCATTACCCAGCTAGGAAATATCATCAGTACTAGATGGAGGGGAGAAGGAGGAGAAAGAGGAGGAGGAAATAATGAAACAACCAAGCTCAGAAGGTACCAAGGGCACCACAGTTGTCCTCCTCCTCCTCCTCCTCCTCCTCCTCCTCCTCCTCCTCCTCCTCCTCCTCCTCCTCCTCCTCCTCTTCCTCTTCCTCTTCCTCCTCCTCTTCCTCCTCTTCCTCCTCCTCCTCCTCCTCCTCCGCAAACCCCACTCCCCCTTCTAGTACTGATGATGTTACCTAGTTGGGTCATGAAATGCCTGCAGGAAAACAACCAAGCTAAGAGAGCACCAAGGAGCCCACAGTCCTCCTCCTCGTCCAACTCCACTCCCTTCTAGTACTGATGATGTTACCTAGTTGGGTCATAAAATGCCTGCAAGAAAACAAGCCAGCTCAGAGATCACCCAGAGCAACAGCTCAGGCAGAGACACCCCCCCCACACACACAAAACACTCCCACTCACGTTGACAGGGCAGGCTACTAGTATATAAACCGAGAGCAATCCCGCTCCTTCCTTCTAGCACTGATGACATTCCCTAGTTGGCTCACGAAACGTCTCAAAGAAAAGACTCCAATTCAGAGGCCACCGAGGACCCTATGTTTCCTTCAGCTGTTTTTTTTTCAGAGGATTCAGGATGTTTTTTTTTAGCATTTATTTGATTTGTCAATCGCTTACAAGATAATAGATATAAGAATAAACATAGTTTCGAATACCTGAGATAGATACTTATAAGAAAAATAAAAAGAAACAATAGGACAGGGACGGTAGGCACGATTGGTGCGCTTATAGTTTGTCTCATCCATGTCTGATTTCCTTTTTGTGGCACAGGAGTTACCAAAATATCTTCGGGGCTACCACAAATGCACCCAGGAAGAAGTCCTACAGCTTGGAGCTCTGATCTACAGGGTGAAATTCGAAGACGACAAATCCTGTTTTCCTAACATTCCAAAACTTCTCAAGGATTTGGTGCCCGAGCCGCTTATTCGACAGCTGTCACCGGACGACTGGAAAAGAGTAAGTTTGCTCCACAAATTGTCTACTTCCATCTCTCTCTCTTATCTGTCTCCTGGTAGTCCTCGACTTACAGCACTTCATTTAGGGACCACTTGAAGTTGAAAATGGCCCTGAAAAAAAGTGAGTTTTTTCACGCTTAATGGCCATTTCACCATTCCTGTGCTCATGTGATCCAAAACCCGGAATTTTTCCTCCTAGGAATAATAACAGAAAGATAGAGGAAGGATTTAATTTATTTAATAGTGCATGTATTGATGGCGGCTAGAGTAATATATGCACAATACTGGAACAATGAAAACATACCACCAGAAACAAGAGATAATAAGGAAAATTATGGCCTGTGAAGAATTAGATAGGTTAATCCTAGAATTTAAAAAAAAAACAAGAGGGAATCTGATTACTATGAAATGTGGAATAAATTCTATCAGTGGTTGTGTAGAAAAGGCAAGGTCGGAACATAAGTAGCTACAATGATTAGAATAATTAGTAAATAATATATCAAACAAGGAGATTGTAAATGATGAAGTCAAATGTATACGTGTACAACAATTGTAATGCCAGATCGGCTGCACCGTGTTGTATTCTTATAATTAAAATAAAAAATAGATATTTAAAAAAATAAATTAGATTAGCATAAGCGTCAAAACCAGATGGGCTAGATGTGCGAGGCCAGTTCATACATTCGGTATCCTTAAAATATGGACAAGTCCCGTGTGAGAGATTGCGTCGTGTCCCCCGTCGGAGCCTGAATCTGCGGAGGAGAATGAGCCGTAGCCCGGAGCTGATGGAGATCGAGCAGGTGGCTTCTTTGGCTTTGGAGGAATATGGGGAGGAGCAGGAGGAGACCGCCCAGTGCCCCTCAGGATTGGGACAGCTTGCTAGCAGGGAGGAACGGGGGCGGCAGGATGACCGAGAGAGGGCAAGCAATGGACGTGAGGAGCGACGGAGCTCAGGCGATGAGCAAGGACCGCCCCCTCCTGATCCCTGAGCACGGAGAACGGAAAGAAGGCAGGAACAGTGTAGGGTGACCCAACAACTTGGGAGGAGAGCGCCCCGCCCCTCTTCACAAGCCACTCATGGGGATTGAGATTTAAGGAGGGAGGGGCATTTGGATTTATGGTAGAGTTTGGTGTGCCGGTAGAGACATTTGGAGTTTGTAGGACGGCGTGCTTCTTCCTTGCTTTGTGGACTTAGTGCCTTGTTCCTTACTTGGTGGCCTTATTTGTTCCTTGTTTCGTGGACTCATTTCCCTGTTCCTTGGTTTCGCTGGACTGGAGCGCAGCCAGAGGTTGCCTTGTGTGTGTGTGTGTGTGTGTGTGTGTGTGTGCACGCGCGCTTTGTTTTGGGACTTGCTAAAAATGTGGGACCATTTAGGGGAGGGGAAATTCGGAGCATTAAAAGGGAGTTTGAAATTTGGAAATTTAAAGCGGAGTCTCAGCTGGTTGTGTGAACTTCGTGCCTTGTCCCGGGTCGACACGGATTGTGATGCTCGACTCGACTCTCTCTTGCAGTCTATCGTGGCCTATTTCAATAAACACGCAGGCAAAACGAGGGAAGAAGCGAAGTTGGCTTTCCTCAAGATTATATTCCGCTGGCCCACGTTTGGATCGGCTTTCTTCGAAGTGAAGGTGAGGATGCGACCAACTTGGGGTGCGTTTAAGAAGTGTGGAAGGAGCCCTGTCATTTGGTGCAGTGGTCGTCAACCAGTGGGCCGAGGACCACTGGTGGTCCATGAGAAAATGTTGGTGCTCCGCAGAGAAATGTTTCCCCCAAAGCAATTAATCCAGGCTGCGCGGGAACACAAGGCTGCGCCGCCCACATGGCCCGCGGGAACACAAGGCTTGCGTCGCTTGCATTGCGAACAACACGAGGGAGTGAGGGGAGGGGGGAAAGGACGGAGGGGAGGACTTACCCCACCTGCCCCATGCGCCTGGCCTGGCCATTGGGCTGCTTCTTTCCGCTTCTTTCCACTTCTTTCTTCTTCTGCTTTTGGCTGCACGCAAGGAAAGCAGCAGAAGTCTCTCTTTCTCTCCCCCAAACTCCACCAGAAATGAGTCTTTGGGACCCTGCAAGGCATCCTTGCTCCAAGAGGCTGTGCCGGTGCGACAAATCTCACACAGACTCATTTTTGGCAGAGTTTAGGGGAGAGAAAGAAAGACTTCTGCGGCTTCTGCTGTTTTCCTTGCATAAAGCCAAAAGTCTCTCTCTGTCTCCCCCCGAGAACGGAGGTGGAGATGGTATCCTGCGATCCCAAATAAAGAACAATCGATCGGTAGGTAAACGGGGTGGGGGATTTTCCCGCAGACTTTTGGGGGGATTTTCCCAGGGTCTCTGGTCCGCAGGATTTAAAATTATGAGTTTGGTGATCCCTGAGGTCCAAAAGGTTGGTGACCCTTGATTTGGTGGGCTACCTTGAAGAGCAGATGCTGGGGTCAGGAGCAACAAATATCCTCCCCTTTGGGACCCTGAATGAACCCCTCTCTGAGAGTAGAGCCGTGGGTGATACCTCTCACGGACCCCTAAACCCCATCTTTCTCAAACTTAGCGACTTTAAGACATGGGCGTTTCAAATCCCCAAATTTCCCAGAGAATATTTATAGCTCAGGATTGAACTCAGGGGTGTCCTCGGTGTTCTCAGAGGTTGGTGGTCTTCTTGGAGATGTTTCATCCCTGGTTTCACATGGGAAACTGTGAGCCTCCTAGACCAAGTCCAGAATTGCTAGAGAATTCCTGGAAAGTTTGGCACTTGGACAAATCGGCCATCAACAGGCACATAGAGATCAATAACATTTACATGCCATTTAAAAGAGACACAAGAAACAAATGAAAGCACCTCCTCACTGACAATTAACAGCAATACGAGCAGGATTAATACTGGACCAACAATTAAGTAAATAATACCCCAAAGAACTACCGGAGAGAAACAAGCCATCAGTAAACCATAACCTAATCAAGGAACACTCCTATAAACACCGACAGGGCAATCTAATAGTATATTAACAAAGAACAAACCCTACTTCCTCCCACACTAAAGATGTTCCCTAGCTCGGTAGTGAAACTTGTGCAAGAAAACAGCCAAGCTTAAATAACACCAAGGACCCCGCAGTCAGATAAATAGTTAGATCAAGGGTCTTCAAACTTGACAAGTTTAAGACTTGTGGACTTCAACTC